CTTACGACTGGGGTTCCCCAGTGTGTATAATGGACCCAGATGGTTCAATGACCGGTCCTGTAAGGTATAGCACCATTGGCTGTAATCATGGGCTAGTGAGGGGGTCACCCTCCGTGAGACCAGGATGAGCGGTCATAAATTAACATGCGAGATTCGGTTAGGCTGTGTCGCCTAATAATGATCTGGGATGTGCCCCAATAATAATAGCCCAATGGAAACCTATTACTGTAGGTTCCGCCTCCGTTAGTTGGGAGGAATTTATGGGTCACCCGAGTCGTAATGTGGAGGGTGCCGGTACTGCATATCTGCAGAATGCTATTAGGGGGGTCACCCCAAATATTTTTAACAGCTTGGTGCAGTTAAAGCACACGCCTGGGGGTCACCCAGCGCAGGGGGGTCACCCCTTTAATACCAATAATCAGTGTGCTTGTGGGGGGTCACCCCACTCAGAGGGGTCACCTCTGGAGAGTACACTCTTATAATGTGTGATAATCAGGGAGTGTCTCTTTAAATCTGTATACAAATGGTCCTCAAATTGCTGTTAGATGGATATTGAAGGTGTATTTTAAGTTCCACAAACAGAGCTGTCTGCCCCTTTAATATGCAGTCAAAACATCCAATCCTTTGAAGAATTATTTGAAGAATTATAACAGTTGGTTGTCCACTTGGTTGGTTGAGGGTAGTGAGAAGGGAAGGCAGACCGTTTGAATGACGGTCTGCCAGTAATCAAGATGGCTGACCTGGATCTCGCGGTCTTCCGCGGGATCCAAGATGGCCGCCATTCGCGCCAAAATGCTGCGCGGTCCGCGGTCGCGGTGTTAGCCGCAATCGCAGCCGACGGCTAACACTACCGGTAAAAACCCCATCCTCCCCGCTCCCACTAAGATCCCCCCGGAGGGTAACACCTGCGCCTCTAATGATGAGCGCGATCGCGGCAGCTAGCCGCGATCGCGCAGTGAAAAAGGGCTGACAGAGGGAGATCCCCAGCAGGGGAAGAGTAGTAACAGGGCGAGGAGAGACAGGGAGATGGGAGACAGGGAGATAAGAGAAGGGATTTTTAAAAACCCAGTTAAAGCAAACAGAAAAGCAACAATAATTTTAACCATGTACACTAAGTCTGAAAAAATCCCAGAACTTAATATCTATGGAAATAAAGATAGTAGAAAAAAGTACTCTGACCTGTGCCTTGGCTGGAGCAGCAAAGAAAGAGGAAATGGAACGCCTGTCAGGGACTTATATGCTGGATGTGCTGGACTCTGATTGGTTAAAACTTTTTTCTTTTGATTGATTGACTTGTGCTGCTGGAGGCATAAAGTAAAGAAAGTTTATGCAAAATAGGAAGCCTACTGTCATGTAATAAAATTGATAGCTGTGCTGCAAAATGTCCTTGGAATTTTTTTTCAAATGTTGGCAACTATGGCACTGTATCAAGGGAAATGTGTTTGTTTTTTAATAAGCCCTGGTGGAAAATAATGAATCCTACACCAGGGATTATTTAAAAAAAAAACAACACATTGTGTCGGGGGCAGGGCTTAACATGTGGCAGGGGCGGGGTCAAACTGTGGCGTGGGCGGGGTTAAATGTGCCCCCCTACTTTTGTCCCTGGCCCACCATGTGCCCCCCCTAAAAATGAATCCTAGAGACGCCACTGAGTAGGACCTGCCAAGAATGGGGCACATTGAGGTTGTGGCAGGCTTATGCAATATATGATCATATAATGTAACTAAACCCTCATTATTTTTTGCCTAAGTGAGGTGTTTTTAAATAAAACTATTACAATCTCCAATATTTGAAATCGTTGTTTAGTGAATAAGCGAGTGCGCTGGATTTTATGCCATTTGTTGTCCTATTTGACATTTTCGTCTGTTCGATATTGGATTACTATCTAAGTTTTCATTCTTAGCCAGTGGTACATCCAGAGAATGAGAGTGAATTATATGAATTCTATTAACAGGGTTCAAGTAGGCCCACATTACACAGGCAGCAGACAAGGTAATATGGACTGACTACTAGGGTTGCCGCCGTTTCTTTAAGTCAAAACCGAACCGAACTAATGCGCATAAATGTAATAAGACGCATTTTTCTGGATTACATCTTCATTCTAAACATGAGCACGAAATTCAAATCATAGATTACAGCTTAATTATAAACCTGTTCCCATAACTTGACTCCTAGACAGGTGGCAACCCCAGTCACTTCACATGAGCTATAGTGTTTTAAACCACTATAAGTAAACCCAGAGGAGTGCTAAAGTTATGAATACACACTAACCCTTTTTTTTTTTTTTTTTTTTAAGCGGAAAGTTTAGTGGTTTAATTCTACTTAGTTCTACTTAGTTCACTCTATACTTTTTTGCATGATCGTGTGTTAAATTGGAGGTACTTACACATGTTTTATAGCTGCTATAAAAACTTTATTGGTTGTTTTATTATTACTTAAGCGCCTTATTTGCACAGCGGACTTTTGTTTTTATACCATGAGTATAGCTACAGCCCAAAACAATTGTAGATCATAAATTTTTTATGAAAACTGGAATAAAAACCAAAACCTAAAATAAGATCTGTATAGCAGGTCCTGATTTATTCTCAGCCTTCATTAAACACCAGCTTAATGTGTCCATGAGGAGGCATAACTAATTAGCTTGGCTCAAGCTATTTAAATATGGGAAACTTTTCAATAGCCAAGGCATCATTGGGTTGTAGGCATGTGCACAGCACAATAGATTAGTTTCATACGAAACTCAGAAGGAATAAACCTTTTGATTTGTTGTACAGAAACTAATCTATTGTGCTCTTTTGGAGACAGAGGCTTAGATCTTGGTATTAGAATTCACCACTGCCATACCATTTGACAAATCACCATAGAAATCCCTGGTTAAATCAGACCTTTTACAGTAGGCAATGTAATGGCTCAGAGAGCTTCTAATAGCTAGTTGCTAAAATGCAATAACCCCTCTTAAAGTGAAGTTGTCCTGTGGAAATTCAGAGAACTTGAAGAAAATTATCTTCTGAATCTCTGCTTTGTGTTTCGCCAACTGCCCAGAATCTTATGTAGGTGTCAACATAAAGGTGCTGTCCTGTTATTTAGGTGTGTTCCACTGTACCATTACAAAGTATGTTTCCAGAAACTGAAGGGTAAAAAAAAACAACGCACCAGCTCTTACTGGTGTTATTGAAGTGCATAACGCACAGTGTTATTTCATATCAAAATGTGGATACTGCAAATAGATTTTTTTTTTTACAAGTCAGTGAAAGGGTTAGTTTGTGGGATTGTGTTGCAATAAGTGATAAGGTGTTTATCTTCTTTTATCTTTTCTTTTAACCCCCTAACTACCTTAACACTGAACTATACAATTTACACTAACTACCACCCACCGCGGCTAACTCGATCACCAAAATAAAATTAATAAAAATTTAAAAATTACATTTAACCTCTAAGGGATTAAAACATCAAAAGAAACGCGTAAAAAAACTCCAAAAAACTGTAAACTACTTTCCCAAACATCAACCCTTGCCCTATCTTGTGATCACAAATTGAAAGGGTTAATATTAGGAAGAGATGTAAAAGGTGGTTTTATTTGTGTAATTCAGAGCATTCTCTTTGCAGGAGGACTTTGAATTATCAGCCTGTCTGCACTTCACATGCTGTCCACACAGCACAGTGACATCTGCGATTGGCACCACAGCGATCACATGTGCTGGGACAGCAGAGTCTGTAGTTGCCAGTCTGCCTCAGACCATGAAGCATCCGGCACCAGTATTAACCACACAATCGCTGGTAATGCTTTATTCTGTCACATGACGGAAAAATTCTGTCATGGGTCGTTAAGGTGGTAACGAAAAAAAATAAAAATCGGCATTCACACTATGACAAAGGTTTCTGATATAAAATTATAGTAGTACTACACAAATGATTTTCACACATTCATATTTCTTACCTTTATAATTTGCACAAAGGTTACTGCTCGTGAAACACTAGCTTGCAATATTCACATATGTTCAATTTGCCCAGTGTTTATATTTAGGTTTTATTTAAACTCTTATTTTGCCCCTTTGTAAGGACTACTAAATTTGTAGCAGTTTGTCAGGTTTGGAGTGACATCGCTGTTAAATTGGATGCTGGATTACATAATATCCCCTGAAACAAAAACTGTTATAACTAAAAAATCAAAGCAACACAAAGAAATATTTTATCACAAAAAAGCAGCACAAATGAATGGTATATTTGTTTTTAACATTTAAAAACGTGGGATGTAACGTGGGCAGAATTTGATGCCCTATAAATGCACAATATTTCCAAAACGAAACTGGCACAAACATTAGTTAAGTAATGCTTAAAGGAACACTATAGGGTCAGGAACACAAACATGTATCCCTGACCCTATAGTGGTAAAACCACCGCCCCTTGCCCCCATAAATATTGTTAAATCTTACTTATATTTAAGTCTGCAGTGTCTGCCTCTGCCCCTAAACTGTCATCTGACCTCATCAGAAGTGGTGGTCTAAGCTAATCAAAATGCTTCCCCATAGTATTGGCTGAGACTGTCAAGGAGGCAGATCAGGGGCAGAGCCAGCACAAGTCAAACACAACCCTGGCCAATCAGCAAATCCTCATAGCGATGCATTTAATCAATGCATCTCTATGAGCGAAGTTCAGTGTCTGCATGCAGAGTAGCACACTGTGCAGCACTGCCCCAGGAAGTACCTCTAGCAGTCATGTGAGGAGTTGCTAATGGAGGTGTCCCTACACATGGGGTGTCTCGGGTGGGGTGTCTCGGGGGGCAAAGTGGGCTGTTCCCCCTCTTGTGGCCTCCCAAATGAAGACCCTGTATCAAGGGCCGGCCTTAGGGGTGTGCGAGCAGCACTCACACAGGTCCAGCTACCCAGGCGGAGAATTTCCTTATTCTCCACCTGGGATTATACAAAAAAAAAAAACCCATTGCTGCGTGGGCTGGGCTTAGCGTGTGGTAGGCGGAGCTAAATGACAGCAGAGGCAGAGCTAAAAGACATGCTGGGTAATTGCTGCACAGGAAAGGGGAAGCAGGAAGGAGTCCCTGCTTCCCCAACATCCAGACTCCAAGAGCTCAACTCACTGCCTCCACTCCTCCCTGCCAGCCCATAATGGAAGGTAACTGCATGTGTTTGACTGTAACTGTGTGTGTGACTATCTGCCTCTGTGTGTGTGGCTGTAACTGTGTGTGACTGTGTCTTCCTCTGTGGGTATGGCTGTCAGCCTCTGTGACAGGCTGGAAATCACAACATGGTCTGGAAACCCTTACGCTGCCATGAACTTCTGCACTAACACATTTCTGCTTTCCTTTTTATCTGTTATTAGCTGCTGGGAATACTCAAAGAAGTCACACCATTTCAGATCGATTATCAATAAGCATTCAAAGGTTTAATGTGTCGTACATCGTATATATAAAACACAGTTTGTCTAGGGGTGTATACATCAACAAAAACATTAACCAATCATAGGAGTTTCAGAACCAAAAGTACAATTTTTTATATAACATTACTTATTGCCGTTAGTTAGTCTCTTGTTAACTGATGCACATGACAGTCTTTGATTTAGGAACCCAATTAAAAGTTGCAGGTGCTAGAAAGAATGCTATTTTTTTCAAGTGCTGTATATACATAAAAGATAGGGAAAGCTGGTGTCAGACGAACACCAAAAACCAGAACAGAAAAATATTGTATGCTTAAAAAATGAGAGTTTAACCCTTTCAAAGCATGAGTATCTTGCATTATAATCAGGCCTACTGACAATTTGGTCTTTCAAGCTATGTATACAGTATTACCTTAGCTATGTAATAAGAAATACAGAAGTAGAAAGCAGGACATGAGACTGACACCCTGTAACATGAAAAAAAAATAAAAAAAGAAACTGCTATGTTTATAAATGGGTTAATCCAGCCTCTAAAGCCTCTAGTGGCTGTCTCATTGACAGCCGCTAGAGGCGTTTGCATGCTTCTCACTGTGAAAATCACAGTGAGAAGACGCCAGCGTCCATAGGAAAGCATTATAAATGCTTCCCTATGAGACCGGCTGAATGCGCGTGCAGCTCCTGCCGTGCATTCAGCCGAAGAGGAGGATCGGAGGCATAGAGGAGAAGGAGTGCTCCCCGCTCGGCGCTGGAAAAAAGGTAAGTTTAACCCCTTTCCTTGCCATCCAGCCCAGCGGGAGGGGGACCCTGAGGGTGGGGGCACTCTCAGGGCACTATAGTGCCAGGAAAGCGTATATGTTTTCCTGGCACTATAGTGGTCCTTTAACCCTGTAGCTGAAAACATAGCAGTTTCAGAGAAACTGCTATGTTTTACTGAGGGTTAATCCAGCCTCTAGTGGCTGTCTCATTGACAGCCGCTATAGGAGCTTCCGCGATTCTCATTGTGAAAATCACAGAGAGAAGACACTGAACGTCCATAGGAAAGCATTGAGTAATGCTTTCCTATGGGCGGTTTAAATGCGCGCGCATTCGGAGCTGAGAGGCGGATCGGGGCGGAGGGATCTCCAGCGCCAAGGGAGTCCGGCGCTGGAGAAAGGTAAGTGCTGAAGACACACACACACACTCTCACGAACAGACGCATACACACTAGCTAACAGACACACACATTTACTGACACACACTCACTGACAGACAGACACATACACACTCACAAAACACACTCACTAACAGACGCACACAAACACACTCAGCAACACACACAAACTAACACACTCACTGACACACACAAACTAACACACACACTGACACAAAAACTAACACACACACTGACACAAAAACTAACACACACACACTCTAACACACACTTTTTTAAAATAAATTTTTTTTTTAACCCCCAGCCTTCCTACCTTAGGGAGTGCTGAGGGGATTCCCTGGGGTCCAGTGGGGCTGGCCTGCGGCCGGTCCTGCGGGCTGGCTGGCGGGTGCGCGAGGGAGCACTCTCCACTGAGTGCTTCCTCTTCAGCTCCCTCGCGCGCTGCGTACTGATGCCGGAGCCGGAAGATGACGTCATCTTCCGGCTCCGGTATCAGTGAGGTGCGCAAGGGAGCTATAGAGGAAGCACTCAGGGGAGAGGGCTCCCTCGCGCGCCCGCCAGCCCACCTGGTGACACCATGGTCAGCTTTGGGGGGCCCTGAGGTGGCCGGCTCCTGGGCCCCCCAGGAGAAGAGGCTGGCACCAGTGGGTATATACCGGATCACAGGGCGGCCGGGTCCCCTGGTGGGCCGGGCATGGTCGCAGCCGCGACCCCTGCGACCCCGGTATGTACACCACTGTGTATGTGTAGGGGAATATTAACTAAGCATTGCATATGTAAAACAATTTGTTTCCATCAGTGTGTGCCTCTGTTTGTGACTGAGACTGTGTCTGCCTCTGTGTGTGGCTGTGTCTGCCTTTGTGTGTGTGGCTGTCTGCCTCTGTGTGGCTGTAACTGTCTGCCTGTGTGTGTGTGGTTGTCTGCCTCTGTGTGTGTGTGGTTGTCTGCCTCTGTGTGTGAGTCTGTAACTGTGTGTGTGGCTGTCTGCCTGTGTGTGTGTGTGTGTGTGCGGCTGTCTGCCTGTATGTGTGTGAGGCTGTCTGCCTCTGTGTGTGTGTGCCTGTCTGCCTCTGTGTGTGTGTGTATCCGCCTGTGTGTGTGTGTGTGGCTTTCTGCCTGGGACAGATCCACTATAGCTCTCCCAAATGTAGGGAGGCTGGGTGGACACAAGTTTGTTTTCCTGGCACTACAGTGGTCCTTTTAGGAGTACAACCAACCTGCATAGTTAGGCAAATATCGGCAACTCATACATGTGGCCCACTAATACCTGATTAGCCTGCTTAATGGAGTATAAATGTTTACCTTTATCAAAAACGCAATGCCACATACCTTTAGCCTTAAGCACAACTAATACTGTATGCATATATAGCATAGCCTTTCCCCTACAAACTACTATTGAATCATAGCCTGTTTTCACACTATAAAAAAATGTGCTGTTTTACATGCCACAAAATGTATTGCTTCGTTACTGCTTGCAGCTGCTGTTGTGGCTCTGCACGCTTGTTTGTCACTTTATGCACACGAAAAAAAAAAAAAATGTTTCAGCAATGTATGGACCAAAAAATAAAAAGAAACAACAATAGTGCTCACTGTATAAAATCAACCAGAAGAATAAATAAGAGAAAATTACTCACATTTACCAGAGCAGACAAACTGCGCTATGGATAGGGCGCGGGTGGAATAATCCCCACCTAAGGATTTCTTGAGTAGTTCTTACTGAAAGTAAAATCAGGATACCAGGCAATAAAATAATAAAAGAATAATCACTGAGTAAAAAGATTAAAATGGCACACTCAATGTAAAAGTAGCCAAAATGCCATTATTAACACAGTAGCAAAACAAAATTAAAAGTCCACAACGCATTTCACCACAAGGGGCTTCTTCAAGTGTACAAAGTACTAACCTGTCACATGTGGGTTTATATAGGGCCCAAACAATCAAAAAATTGAAAAGTGTGTCTTATTTGACATTTGACCCTAAATGAGGTCACATGACATGTTTAAAAGGTCAAAGGACATATTAGCAGGTATTGTGGGCGGTGTTAACAACGGATGAGAATACATTGCACAGGAATATATATACATAAAAATATATACACTTAAAACTGTAGACCATTATAGGATATACAGAATAATAAAATAAATATAAAATCAGTTATATATAAAACTGTAAAAACAAAAAACTGAGAAAGTATGTACAGTTAATTATAGCTATTTTTTTTTAATAAAAATGTGTATAACTGAGAGTCAAATTTAAATTATATTTGTTTAGGAATAAACCATATAAAGGGGGGTAAAATAGGTATTACCTACCTGGCTGAGACTGCAGTTTCAAGAGGGATTAAGGGAGCATGTATATGTATATGTGTGTATATATATATATATATATATGTATATATATAAACACAAGTAGCTTGGCACTCACCCTTTAATCCATAATTTCCAAATACAGTGCCTTGGCGAAATCCCACGTAGAAATATAAACCAAATTAGAAAAAGGGTGCACTCACAGGTCTTTCCATAAATTCAATGGTGTTTATTGAGGACTACCTTGAGGAAGAGCTGAACGGGTTGAAACGTTGATCAGTTATTTTTGTGACTTTATATTGAATTTATGTAAAGACATGTGACACACACACACACACACACTTTCTCTCTCTCTCTCTCTCTCTCTCTCTCTCTCACCTCCCATGTGAAATCCAAGTAGATCACATCCACTGCAACACTCTATACTTCTACTTACTTTTTAGTGGAATGCAGTTAGGTTAGTTTGACGTGACCTACAGTTGTGCTCAAAACGTTGCATACCCTGACAGAAATTGTGAAATTTTGGTATTGATTTTGAAAATATGACTGATCATGAAAAAATTTCTATGAATGTCTTTTATTAAAGTATTGTGATCATATGAAGCCATTTATTATCACATAGTTGTTTGGCTCCTTTTTAAATCATAATGATAACAGAAATCACCCAAATGGCCCTAATCAAAAGTTTACATTTTGGCCTTGTTACAGACACACAAGGTGACACACAATTTAAAATGGCAATTAATGGTTAATTTCCCACACCTGTGACTTTTTAAATTGCAATTAGTGTCTGTGTATACATAGTGAATGAGTTTGTTAGCTCTCGTGTGGATGTACTGAGCATACTAGATACTGAGTCATGGGGAGCAGAAAAGAACTGTCAAAAGACCTGCGTAACAAGGTAATGGAACTTTATTAAGGTGGAAAAGCATATAAAGAGATATCCAAAGCCTTGAAAATGTCAGTAAGTAATGTTAAATCACTGATTAAGAAGTGTAAAATTTGGGGATCTCTTGATACCAAGCCAAGGTCAGGTAGACCAAGAAAGATTTCAGCCACAAGTGCCAGAAGAATTGTTCGGGATACAAAGAAAAATCCACAGGTAACCTCAGGAGAAATACAGGCTGCTGTGGAAAAAGATGGTGTGGTTGTTTCAAGGAGCACAATACTTGAACAAAAATACTGAGTTGTCGAGTTGCCAGAAAGAAGCCTTTACTGCGCCAATGCCACAAAAAAGCCCAGTTACAATATCCCCGACAACATCCTGACATGCCTCACAGCTTCTAGCACACTGTAATTTGGAGTGACAAGACCAAAATAGAGCTTTATGGTCACAACAATAAGCGCTATGTTTGGAGATGGGCCAACAAGGCCTATAGTGAAAAGAATACCATCCCCACTGTGAGGCATGGTGGTGGCTCACTGATGTGTTGGGGATGTGTGAGCTCTAAAAGCACAGGGAATCTTGTGAAAATTGATGGCAAGATGAATGCAGCATGTTATCAGAAAATACTGGCAGATAATTTTCATTCTTCTGCACAAAGGCTGTGCATCGGATGCTTTAGGACTTTACAGCATGATAATGACCCTAAACACAAGGCCAAGTTGACCTTCCAGTGGTAACAGCAGAAAAACGTGAAGGTTCTGCAGTGGCCATCACAGTCTCGTGACCTTAATATCATCGAGCCACTCTGGGGAGATTTCAAACGTTAAAAGGTGCTGTAACGGAGCTCCTTGTACTCCGACCGAGTACCCTCCGTTGACGGATGCTCCTAGCGCTTCCTGAGGACTCCCAAGCACTGCAGCAGACACCGCAACCACCGCAGACTCCGCAACTGCCGTATCTTGACTGGAGTCTCGCCGTCTTCCTTCCACCCTGGATCAGCTTCTGTCCTCCAGGACTGTGTGGGAAAGAACTCTTCCTTCCACCCTGTATGAACCTCCAGCATCCAGGACTGTGTGGTGAAGACCCCTCCTCCAAGGAGAGCGTGTCAGGAACAAGCTCTTAAAAGAGCTAAGTGACTCAAGCTCAGGGGAACATGCAGAGCATAGCAATCCCCAGTGTGATTATAACAGCTCCCTCCAATAACGAGACAAGGCTACGTTTAGAGGGATCAAGAAGAACTGTCAAAACCTTTATTCCCTTGGGACCAGCCAATACAGTCACCACAATAACATTGTTGTGAAACCTCAATAAAATCACAAACAGTCAAACCATATCAAGAAACACACAGTGACTTATCACAACACAATGGCACATTTTTAAAGGGGTGGGGGGAGACAATATTTAACAGTAAATATCTCACCTGCCTGCAGAATTAGCAATATGCAAATCTACCCGAATATGCAAATGAACCAGTCTTGCAATTCAGGTAGTGCATATTGCTGTTGCTACCAACAGAGGGCACTAGACCAGCTCCATAGCCAAACCCACCTAGTTGGTAGCAAACCTCAGCAGTACAGGAGAGAAGGCAATACATTTCACAGTACACACACACACTATAAACAATTACATTACACACACCCTGCACCTATCATGGGTACAGGGTGACTAAAACATAGGATAAATAAAGCAGCCCACATAAATAGTCTGTCTGAAGGTAGACTAGGGGCTTTAAAGCCAGATAGATGAAAGAGTCATAGTCACAGGGGAGGAGGCTGGCAAGTAGGCCTCTCCAGGACCAAGTGGCGAAGGGCACTTCATCACATATCTCCCCTTCGGGGGGAAGACTAACCAGGCACCTGACTTTCTGTCGGTCAGTGCCTAAGTTAGTCGAGTCACCCACCGACCATAAGCAAGTGCCAGAGTAGCCCACCCACAACAAACAGTTATTAGAGTAGCCCACCCATAGCAAACAGTGACTGCACCTGGGTATTCCTCTGGGGTGATGGGGCAACACGCTGTGGGGACTTGAGGGGCAGAGGCCAGCGGCGCTCTGCCCTGATGCCAGCGCTTCTGCTGGGAGGAGGGGGGTGCAGGCCAGTCCTGTGACAAGGGGATCGGTAGGGCAGAGGCCAGCGGCGGTCTGCCCTGATGCCAGCTCTTCTGCTGGTATAGCCTGCAGGACATCAGGCTCTGGACAAGGGACAAAGGGAGGGCAGAGGCCGACTGCACTCTGCCCAGCTGCCAGCTCTTCCGCTGGGGGGCTTGGGACATAGTCCGGCTCAGTAGCCAGGGGAACGTGGGGGTCAGTGGGGGTTAACATCTCCCCTGTTAACCCTGGGGCCAAGTTAGGAGTTAGCTGGGGAGGGGAATTCGTACTTACCCCCTCCTCCTGTTGTCCCTGTGAGGGTAGTTGGGGATCTGGACAGGCTTTCCAGCATCCCTGTAGGTCGGGCACAGAGACCACGGTCCCCTCTGCGCCATCTGGGAGATTGGTGTCTGCCCTTGGTAGGGTAAGCTGCCGCTGGGGAGATAGGGTGCTGTGCTCCTCTCCCTGAAACACAGGCTGCCGCTGGAGAGGGAGACCGCCTGTCTCCACTCCCATAACATTGTCCTGCTGCTGGAGAGAGAGACCAACTGTCTCTGCTCCCTGTAGGACACACTGCTGCTGGGGGGGAAGGACGACACCTTCGGCCCCCTGGAATTCGCACTGCCGCTGGGGAGTTAGGACGACACCTTCGGCTCCCTGTAACTTGCACTGCCGCTGGGGAGGAAGGATGACACCTTCGGCTCCCTGTAACTTGCACTGCCGCTGGAGACTAGGTGTCCATATCCTCAACCTCCACAGTTGTCGCTCAAAGGCCATTGCCGCACTGTTCTCAGCACTCAACTGGCTCATTACTTGGTGGACCACCTCGTTCGAAAGGTCTGGGCCATAGCAGACCAACCGCCTCTTTACCTCCTCAATGTAAGCGTCGTCCTCGTAGCGACGTATCCTGTTGAGGTGCTCTTCGCAGGGCTCTATCCATACCTGCTCCATGCTGCTGTAGTTAGGGACGCTACACAGTGGCTAGCGTTGCCCTCAATAACCTCTCATATGATACCAGTGTCTCCGAGCTGCTTCTCCTCGCACTAGGACGCCATCCCACCGCTGCCACCAATGTAACGGAGCTCCTTGTACTCCGACCGAGTACCCTCCGTTGACGGATGCTCCTAGCGCTTCCTGAGGACTCCCAAGCACTGCAGCAGACACCGCAACCACCGTATCTTGACTGGAGTCTCGCCGTCTTCCTTCCACCCTGGATCAGCTTCTGTCCTCCAGGACTGTGTGGGAAAGAACTCTTCCTTCCACCCTGTATGAACCTCCAGCATCCAGGACTGTGTGTTGAAGACCCCTCCTCCAAGGAGAGCGTGTCAGGAACAAGCTCTTAAAAGAGCTAAGTGATTAAAAGCTCAGGGGAACATGCAGAGCATAGCAATCCCCAGTGTGATTATAACAGCTCCCTCCAATAACGAGACAAGGCTACGTTTAGAGGGATCAAGAAGAACTGTCAAAACCTTTATTCCCTTGGGACCAGCCAATACAGTCACCACAATAACATTGTTGTGAAACCTCAATAAAATCACAAACAGTCAAACCATATCAAGAAACACACAGTGACTTATCACAACACAATGGCACATTTTTAAAGGGGTGGGGGGAGACAATATTTAACAGTAAATATCTCACCTGCCTGCAGAATTAGCAATATGCAAATCTACCCGAATATGCAAATGAACCAGTCTTGCAATTCAGGTAGTGCATATTGCTGTTGCTACCAACAGAGGGCACTAGACCAGCTCCATAGCCAAACCCACCTAGTTGGTAGCAAACCTCAGCAGTACAGGAGAGAAGGCAATACATTTCACAGTACACACACACACACTATAAACAATTACATTACACACACCCTGCACCTATCATGGGTACAGGGTGACTAAAACATAGGATAAATAAAGCAGCCCACATAAATAGTCTGTCTGAAGGTAGACTAGGGGCTTTAAAGCCAGATAGATTAAAGAGTCATAGTCACAGGGGAGGAGGCTGGCAAGTAGGCCTCTCCAGGACCAAGTGGCGAAGGGCACTTCGTCACAGGTGCGATTCATGCAAGACCAGCAAAGACTTTGCATGAACTGGAGGCATTTTGCCAAGACGAATGGCAGCTATGCCACCTGCAAGAATTAGGGGCCTCATAGACAATTATTACAAAGGACTACACAATGTCATTGCTATATGGGGCAATACACAATATATTAAGAACTAAGTGTATGCAGGCTTTTGAACCGGGTCATTTCATTTTTTTTCTTAAAAGAAAAGTGTTTTGCCTGCTCACTCATGTTTTCTTTAAAATGGCACATATATTACCAATTCTCCAAGTGTATGCAAACTTTTGAGCACAACTGTATGTAGGGCCGGCCTTAGGCCTTTAGGCGCCCTGTGCGAAATCTCTTCACAGCGCCCCCCCTCCCCGTCATCCATGTATGATGTAATGTTTGTGTTGTCTGTGTATGTGATAGTAGGTGTGATGACTGTGTGTGATATGTATGCTCTATGTTGTCTGTGTGTGATATTTGTAATGGGTGTATTAACAGCGTGTGATATGCGTGTATTGGTTGTATGTGATATTTGTGCTGAGTTTATTGGCTGTGTGTGATGGTTATTTAATTGAGATAAAAACATGCATTTAGGCCTGTGTGTAAATGCAGGTGTATATTTTTGCAGAGTTATGTGCATATAGTCAGATGCACACAGTTATACATATACACTGTCAAATCCACACATGCACACAGTCGCAGGCAGATAGTCACATACATACGATCAGGCAGAAACACACAGGTACAGGCAGTAACACACATACACAGTTACAGGTAGATAAACACACACACACACACACACACACAGACAGCCACACATACAGTTTTACACACACACAGCCATACATACAGTGAGCCACACATGGTAAGCTCTGCCCCAGCTACAAATTTATATTTTTTTTTAAATTCCGGCCGGTCATGTGTGAGCTGTGTCGGCCGCAGGGCGCCCCCTGCTCTGTTGCGCCCTGTGCGCCCACACATCTCGCACACCCCTAAGGCCGGCCCTGACTGTATGTTTCATAAAACCATGTTGATTATTGCTAATAACACTGCTCCTTCCAATAAATTCCTGCAAATTATTGATTTATAACCCTTCAAATACTTTCCCAGCCACAGAAGTTAAGCTCACAGGTCTATAATTTCCAGGCATGGAATTTGAGCCCTTTTTAAAAATAGGAACCACATCTGCCTTCCTCCAATACAATTCCTGACAGAAAAGAATCTTAAAATATTAAATACAGAGGTTCACTTATTTCCACACCCAGCTTCTTAAGTACTCATGGTTGAATACTGTCAGGCCCTGGAGCTTTGTTAACATTATTTAGTTACATTAATTATTTAGTTGCTGCAGTACCTTGTCTTGAGTCATCTAATTAATGGTTTATTTCATGTTTTCTCTTGCCATATGATCTTCTTTAATATATACTTAAGAAAATAGTTATTTAAAATGTCTGCCTTTTCCTTGTCTTCGTTACCTGGCATGCCCATTTCTGTTTATTTGTAAAAAATATATATATATATTTTTTTAGAATTTATGTACTTAAAAATATTTTGGGATCCGGAACACTGCTCCCTAAGGGTGCAGTGACAGCACTGATTCCACCAGGTAGGCACGAGCACGCATCTAAGGATAACACAATCATCAGCCCATCAGACAGGCAGACGGCTGGGACTGACATAGACACAAGTGGGGAATAGAGCTACACAACTGGGCACGAAGTAATCATAAAAAGGAAATAACCCCTGTGACCAGACACCACGTAGAAGTACCCCTATAGCCAGCTAGCCAGATAGATCATCTCAGACCCAGACACCCTGCCCGGGAAGATAGACACTCCAAAACCCTCCCCCCCATGTAACGCACGTAAGAAAAACAAAACAAAAAAAAAACCTGTTATGAGAGTAATGTACCTGGCGGATGATGCCTATGCCAGAGCGGACTCACTTACAGCAGACATGGTGCGCGAGTGGGCACATGATATCCAAGAATGGGCCCAGAGGGGCTTCTGTTTTCTCGGAAATACGAATGCAGCCCTCTCAACAGAGCGGCACCGCGCAGCACTTTTCTCCATAGACCCCAAACTGGCCGATCTAGGGGTAAAGGAACTGGGCCCACAGGCACAGGGCAAACTCTTCGGTGAAGCCTTTATGAAAGAGCTGAATAAACATGTCAACGTATTTACCTCACTGAATAGAGCCCGCAAACGAAGAGGCTTCTTCCGCAAAAAAAAACGGGGATTTCAGACCGGTGATCAATTTAAGAGACCTGAATGCTCATGTGACCTACCGTCACTTCAAAATGGAGGGCATACACTTACTGAGGGACCTCCTTCAAGAAAAGGATTGGTTTACGCGTCTAGACCTCAAAGACGCATATTTATCAATCCCAATTCACGAGGACAGCCATCCTTTCCTCCGGTCCCTCTGGAACAGGTCCCCATGGCAATTCACGTGCCTCCTTTCCGGACTGAGTTCGGCACCATGGTGCTTCACAAAAATTTTGAAACCAGTGGTCACACACCTCAGGACCCACGGGATCAGAGGCATCATTTATCTGGACGACAGTCTCTCATTCTGCAGAACGAGGGAACTGGCCATACAACATACCGAATATACGGTACAATTATTAGAATCCTTCATTGTCAACAGAGCCAAATCCGCAATGAACCCCGTACAGAAAATCCAATTCCTGGGCTTTGAGATAGACTCCAGGTCTTGCACTCTCCACCTCCCGTCTGCCAAAGTGACAGCCATCAAGAGAGAGATCCGCAGAGTACTCAAATTAGACTCCAATCCGCTCCGTCAACTGGCACGGATCGTTGGCCTACTGTCCTCATCGATACAAGCCATATTTCCGGGGCCCCTTCACTACCGTGCTATGCAACGGCTGAAAGCCAGCTTCCTGCGACGGAACCCCACATACAATCAACCAGTTCCGCTGACGGAAGAAGTATACCAAGAACTCGAATGGTGGCTCAACTGTATGCAAGCTGACGGAAGAAGTATACCAAGAACTCGAATGGTGGCTCAACTGTATGCAAGCGTGGAATGGTCAGGCCATCTTCGGCAACCAACCGGACTTCGTCCTGGAATCAGACGCGTGTCGCCTGGGGTGGGGCGCCATGGATGGAGAAGCATCCACAGGAGGAACGTGGACACCACAAGAACTATCGATGCACATCAACTGCCTTGAACTACTGGCGGGGTCATTTGCTATACGCAGCCTAGCAAAAGGACAATCCAACTGTTGTATACTGCTATGAATGGACAACATATCGGCAGTGCGGTACATCAATCATTTGGGGGGTACCCGATCACGAACACTGGTAAATCTGACGAAGGAAATCTTCGATTACTGCCTCCCGCGCAACATCACGATACGCGCAGAACACCTACCAGGGGAGTCGAACCTTACAGCAGATTGGTACTCCCGACACTGGAGAGATGCAAGCGACTGGCAATTGAACCCGCGGATATTCGCTCACCTACACGAGCAGAAAGGACCCTTTCTATTGGATCTGTTTGCTTCACACAACAATCACCAGGTACCACAGTTCTACAGCTGGCTCCCAGATCCGGAATGCTTTGCCGTAAACACCTTCACCCAACACTGGCCAAGGCAAGGGGTGTACGCCTTTCCCCCATTCGCCATGGTTGCGAGAGTTCTCCACCATATACGAAGACGAATAGTGCTAACCCTCCTGATGCCCCTCTGGCCGAGTCAACCCTGGTTCCTGGACCTTCTCGAATTGTCCTACCAGGACCCGATTCTACTGCCGAACGACGACATGCTACTAAGAGACCCAACGGGGAACCCACACCCGATGCTGTTAGACGGACGCCTATCCTTGGTAGCCTGGACTCTTTCAGGGGAGCATGGTGTACCAACGACTTATCGGCAACAACTAAGGACCTCCTATGGGACTCCTGGGCCCCGGGAACACGAAAGAGTTACTTATCCACATGGTGATCTTGGACCAGTTGGTGCATGGGATGGGACCTGGATCCCTTTACAGCCCCTGTTTCGGATATCATGAATTTCCTCTCGTCTCTCTTCGAGGAAGGCAAGTCATATCGCACTATCAATGTTATGAGATCGGCTATCTCTGCAGCACACGTACCGTCCCAAGGAAGGGTGGTCGGACAGGATCCGCTAATATGTCGTCTACTACGGGGCATCAAATTAAGACGACCCCCAACACCTAAATACCAGCACTTATGGGATGTGGATGTCGTCCTTCGTTTCCTGAGGAACTGGCCCACCAACAAACTTCTATCCTTAAAACAACTGACGGCCAAATTCACCTTCCTATTGTGCATGGTCTCCTTCCGGAGAGTGGCAGACGTCCGGGCGTTCGACAAAGACGCCTTTTCCATCGACCCGGAGGGGGTCACATTCCACATCTCACGACGAACTAAATCCAACTCATCATCGGTGTTCTATCCATTCTTCAACTCGGACCCTCAGCTGTGCGTGGTTAAAGCTCTGCGAGCATATGTGGTGGCAACAGAGACGTTACGCCCACCGACAGCACAACAACTATTGGTGTCATATGTCAACCCACACGGTCCGGTTTCGGTCACTACATTGGCCAGATGGATCAAATGGCTTCTCTCCCTAGCCAGAATAGACTCTTCCTTTGGTGCACACTCCGTTCGAGGGGCAGCGGCATCATCAGCTTTCCTAGCAGGCACATCTCTGTCAGATATTCTACAAATGGCAGATTGGTCCCAAGATTTGACATTTCGGACTCTCTACTTCCGTCCATCGTCCAATGCCGCATTCGCTCTTCTACCTAAGCATTAAAATTGCAAAATAGGAAGCCTCCTGTCATGTTATAAAATTTAAGATTATGCTAGCACAGTGTACTAATAATCTTAATTTTAATAATGACAGGAGGCGAGTATTTTCCTTCCCCTTATTCTTGATGTTCCCACCCAATGGAGGTAAGTTAAGACTAACGGGTATAGTTGACTCCAATTTTTAACTGTATGCACTAAAATGATTTGGTATGGGGATATCATTGCCTATTTGAGGGGGATTGCTTTAGAACATACATCTTATGGCTAATCGAGTGTAATCATTGGAAAATGAAGTATATACTCATAGACACTTGCTTCATACGGTCTGTCCCGTATCACTGATACTAGTCTCTTTCTTTTCAGTTTAACAAGTCTCTAAGATAACGGAGAAAACTGAATTCCTACTGAGTTTCCATGTTGGATTAAATTGGGTCAAATGCATCGGACACGTTGTCATAACATGAACTTGTGATGTCGCAGTAGTCAAGAGGAAATGATTGGCTACGCTTGGACTTGTATACACCCTGACTTACTCTGATTGGTTCTTTCTTTAACAGTTTTTTCTTTGCTGCTATGGAGTTAGTAAAGAAAGTTAATGCAAAATAGGAAGCCTCCTGTCATTATTAAAATTAAGATTATTAGTACACTGCGCTATCATAATCTTCAATTAACATTCCAACTGAAAATGGAACTGGGGGTATGCTGGAGAAATAAGTCTTCGGTTAAGAAAATAAAAGCAAAAGAAAACTGCCTTTTAAGAGTTATGTCCCTGCTAGGATAATAAAGTGATTAGTGTATTTCGGTAAAAGTAGTTATATTGTATTATTTACTCTTTCTTTTCTCTCTGCTCGGGCCCTACTTCACAGTATTGTGTTTGTCAGGATGTTTGACTGAATGAGTCAGTGTATATTATGGATGGTTTTTAATAATGTTTATGTAATGTATTGTCTGTCATTGTAATAAAAAACTAATAAAGACTATTTAAAAAAAAAAAAAAAAAAGAAATCATAACTTCATAAACCATTACAAGGAGGAGCAAAGAAAAATAACAGATATGCAAAGTAAATGGCTACTAGCAAGTAAATACAAAATACACTTTTATAAAGTAAAAATAAAGTACTTTGTCAGTACTAGCATGTTTGTACTGTCATTTGAATTGTATTATACATTGCCGCATAATATAATTTATGACGTAATTAGAACTTGCACAGTAAAATTAAAGTAAACACGAAACTGTATACTTGAAGTCAAATCAAAATATAAACTTGTTTACAGCAGTGGAGTATGGAGCTTCTAAATCTACCGGGTAAGAACTAAACCCTTAGGTCGTGGACCAGTCATGGTCTACATAGACCCAAATTTGGGGCAAGAATTCGGCCCTGATGTCCTGTCACTCTGACCATGTGGCCAGGGAATGGAGGCTGTTAATGATCTAAGTAGCTTAAGCTTGTTGATTGTGTTATATACGGCGGAATATAGCATAGAAATACTTAGCTTGCAAATTAAAATAAATGCATGTTAGCACTGTCTTATTAATGGTAGTATAAATTGCTACATACATGGCTTTTTAAAATAATTAGAGCTAATATAAATGTGAAAACTAAACGTACGTAAATGTACGTGAAATTACATTAAGATATAAACTGGTTCTCAGCCGTGACATATAGTGGTTCTGAATTTAATGGGTAGGAACTAAACCCACAAATAGAGGATCAGTCATGGTCCAGATAGGTCTGCTGTTCAGGAGTTAACCAGCATGTTGTTGTGGCACTTGCCAGCAGTGTATTCCTGCAATTATCTCTGTGCCTTGCCCGGTGCATCCAACCACAGCTGAGCTATCGGGGTAGAACAGTGGGCAGGACCTGGCTAGTCCAACTTTATTGGAGGTAGGCCTAGTTGTGTTACAAAGTTGGTTGCCTTGGAGATTTTGTGGAGAGTGAAGAACCATTCGTCCCTTCAAACCATCGTTTTGAATGGATGGCCACATGCATATCAGATTTTTTGTTCGGTCACAGCCAGTGTTAATGGCCACAGTTTGCACCTTTTGCACAGGGTTCTGGGTGCTAGGAAATGATACAATTTTACCTACTGCCCATCAATTGAGAGAGGAGTCCCTTGCAGCTTTCATAAGGGCCTCCTTGACTGAGTTGCAAATGCCGCTGGATTAAGCAGTGCTCTATGGGTGCGATCCATCAGGAACTTCCATTTGGCTGCAATCAGTGTAGCAGGAAGCATTTCTGAGGTGATCTTGTCTGGGAACCCCCTTATTTCAGTATTGTTGCAACATGAGTGATTGCTCATGTTCTTGAGGAACTGAATTTGCTCCTGTAGCATGGACAGAGCCATGTCATGCATATTAACCATTGTGATAATCTCCTTAACTATCTTCTTCCAAGTCTACTTTAATGGTTAAGTATTTGTTAAATTCGCCTTCCATGTTAGCTTTAATCTGCTTTAGGAAGGAACGCAGATCCTGTTTAGTAAGCGGGCTCAGGTTTGTCGACCTTCAGCTACTGCCACTTGCCTCTAAGTCTGACTACAAGATCGGCATGTCATCAGGCAGGGTTAGGCCTTTTTCAGAGTGATGCTGGGGGCCACTGTCTTTTATTGTTTCAGCTTTCTACCTCCTCCCATCCTAGGTTGAGCACCGAGTAGTCAGGGTAGTATTATCAATGCCTCTTGGTGTTTGCTGCTTATTTTTGTTATTTATAATGTCCATGCTCAAGGAGCACTAGTCAAGTGCTGCTATTCACACTGGAAGTCAGGCGCTGCCCCCACAAATATAAATTTTTACTGCACAAAAAAAGCACAAATCAAACATACTGGATTTTTTTTGTGTGTGTGCATGTTGTAGGGGACAGGGAAGCTTTACATTGCTCTGTCAGTCAGTATAGAGAAAGCATGTTAAGAAGAAGAGAAATGAAACATTGTTTATATTTCTCTGTTGTTTGCAATGTTTGCCCTGGCTTTGCCTTGTCTGATCTGTATAGAAAATAAAGCATTTCACAAAGGAAGGTCATATACATTATAACTGATTTTCTTTCATTTAATAGTGTACCTTCCAGAGATGTGTCAAATCCTATTTATTTAAACTTATTAAAGAGATTATCTCCTTCTGTAAATTTGTCTCTTTTGCAGTAAAGTTTGGCTTTTCATACCTATTTGTTACCTTTGGTATGTAAGGATACATGCCAAGCCTTTAAATTATTTTCCTTTGTAGGATTAAGTCCATCTGAGCAAACACATCTAACTGGTAATTCAGGATCAGAAGAAAAAAAACAACAATGAATACAGCACCATATGTTTAAACCATTTCCCTTAAGTGTCACTGCAAGGGTGCATAACTCATTATTGCACTATGGAATATTGTCCTTTAATGCAATTTGTGTAGTGCATAGATGATCTGCTTAGAGATGGAATATTGTGAATGTCAAAAGGGGTTAATTTGATCATATGGAAGGTTTATAGCCTTAATTCCTTTTGAAGTTGGGACCCCCACAGAGGTCAGATGGCAGAAGGGGTAATGTAAATTGCACAGAAATGTGAAAGCTGCAAGGTGTGAGATTCTACACCTAAAAAGCCTGAAGGTCTGGCTTTAGGAATATGGGATGTGCCTCTTAATTGATGTGTCAATCTCTTTGATATGTTAATGGCCATTAGCCTTGTTCCAGTATCATATCCAAAAGCAAAAAAATATATATATTTACCCACAGAATAATAATTAAGCCTCATTTTTGTTATATTTGGAATGTGACCAGCTCCATCTTCTAAACAAGCCCAAACATGATTGGCATAACGTAGCCATAGGGGAAGGAATTGTGATGTCCGCCATATTGGGTCACAAGTATGGTGTGCAGCATATCTATAGAATGGGAAAATAATAACAAATTCATAGATACAATTATTATTTCTGTGGCAGGTACATAAGAGAAGATAGAACCAAATGTTTCCATTTGGATTTATGTTGGTCTGGAACACAAGGGGTGGTCACTCATTGTCTCTATAGACCACGTCTAGACCAAGCGTGGTAATCAACAGGGTATATATCCAATGATAATGAAAAGTCTTGGTACTTGCTTGGGGCCAGAATCTAATTCTAAGTGAGTCATCATCTTTCCTACCAGAGACCCCCTGGGGCATAAGTATTTACTTTGAAGAGCTGAGTAAGTGATTAAGACTTTCTGTTATTTTATCCCTTTTGTTTTTATCTGTAAATAATTTTGATTGTCATCTATATATTTTTTGTATGCAGGTTGACTATATTTTGCTCATAATAAATATTATTTTATTACGTTCTACCTTTGTCTGGTAAAGAATCACGTTACCTGAAGAGACTAGTTAGTATATTGCAATTACATAGATATTGTGCTAAGTTACATTTGGTGGGTTTTTAAAATTGATTTACCTGGGTTACCAAGGCACCCCATTTATAAATTGTCTTGGTGGTGGCAGCGTTAAAATAGTAATAGTTATATTATTATGTTTAAGGGTGGGTGGTGTTAAGGGGGGTTTTGTCATTATTTCCAGTCCAGTGCAGACAAATAGTGAACTTTAACCTTTTCACCACCACAACTACATCATGCACACTCTTGAAGTAGGGTGCATTTGTGACATTAACCCCTTCTGTACTAAGCACTTTTTGTTAGATAATATATTAGCACAACACTTACTTGAAATGTATGATGCCTAACTAGCACATACACATATAATAATACAACATGTTATATGTATAGATTGCTCTACAGACAATCTTAAAAAATAAAATTCTGAAAATGTGCATAGATTTTTCATTTATTTGTTCACCTTCATAGACAATTTTGGAAAATGAACTACAGACAGTACATAACCTAATATACATACGGTAGGTGTGACAAAAATAGATAAATAAAATGGTCAAATAGTTTGTTTATATGTATTTGTAAGGACCCTCAAAACATTAGTAACAGTGCAGCTTAGTGGAAATGGAAAAAGAGTGCAAAAAAACCAAACTATCTGCATTTGAGCATAATGCCCACATATAGGAAATCATGTATCCCTAAAATAAGTCATAGGGTGGATATTCGCAAAAAACCTTAAACCTTAAAAGAACACTTCAAGCACCATAACGTCTATAGTGTGTAAGATTGATATGACCCATTGGAACTTTTATTGTTTGTAAAGTTAATGAAGCTGCCATTAAATGAGTGGTCAGTGGCTCTTGGCAGAATGTTTTTTTGTTCCTCTACATGCTAATAATCATTCCTAGACTATAAAGGAGGGTAACTATGGCTTTTTGAACCAAATTTAATTTTGCAAAGTAAATTAATGAAAAAAAACATGCATATATGATTTGGGAGCGAAGGGGTTAAAATTGAAACCGTGCAGACTATGATTTCTTTCTTTTTTGGGGGGGGTAAAACATTCTCAGAACTGTATTTTGAAATCTAAATAGCAAAACCTGGGAATTTCTTAAAACATACAAAGAATATGTATATTATATACATAAACAATTTTAATTTTTTAAAATTCTTTATTTTGTCATGCACGAAAAATACGAGGCAAGCAATGCCACAACAGCTGTGTCAGTCAACATTTAAAGACAATTGTTTGGCAAATCAAAACATTGCACATTTTATATTGCAATGTAATGTACTTTAATCAAGAGTTAGACCAACGTGTAAGTTACAAGTTACGGCAGACAAGTTACTGATTCAGA